CTGTGAGGCACTGGCAGGCAAGGGGTAGGTATACAGTGGTACAGTCCAATCTGTGAGGCACTGGCAGGCAAGGGGTAGGTACACAGTGGTACAGTCCAATCTGTGAGGCACTGGCAGGCAGGGGGTAGGTATGCAGAGGTACAGTCCAATCTGTGAGGCACTGGCAGGCAAGGGGTTGGTATACAGTGGTACAGTCTTATCTGTGAGGCACAGGCAGGCAAGGGGTAGGTATACAGAGGTACAGTCCAATCTGTGAGGCACTGGCAGGCAAGGGGTAGGTACACAGTAGTACAGTCTAATATGTGAGGCACTGGCAGGCAAGGGGTAGGTACACAGTGGTACAGTCCAACCTGTGAGGCACTGGCAGGCAAGGTGTAGGTACACAGTGGTACAGTCCCATATGTGAGGCACTGGCAGGCAAGGGGTTGGTATACAGTGGCACAGTCTTATCTGTGAGGCACAGGCAGGGAAGGGGTAGGTATACAGAGGTACAGTACAATCTGTGAGGCACTGGCAGGCAAGGGGTAGGTATACAGTGGTAGACAGAGGAAAGTATCCTCCTGTTCTTTACCGAGTGTTCCTACAGTGGCAGCTTGAGAAGGACAGTTTAATAGAAAATGGCTTCGAGCATTGTGCCATGTAATTACTAACACATTGATGTGACGTCATAACACAATCGAAAATAACAATAAGATGGTGTCAATGAAACCATGTAAAATGATATCATCATCAGCTTTTGATTGGGTAAACTTGTCAAAATCAGGAAAAATGAATGCTGATAACTGTTGTTTTGGAATACTGTATACTGAGAAATTGTTGCTGCTGTTTATTTTTTCGCCTTTTTCCCCCTCCATGACGAGGGCCAATCTATTATTACTGTGAACATAATAAATTATGTAAACAACACAATATACATAGTAATTAATATGAGTGTGAAGGGCGAAATTAACATTGAGCGAATATTGATTTCTTGGGCAATGGGCAGAAATATGACTGGGCGAAAGGAATCCTCCTCTACCGAACTCTAGACGGACGCTCTACCAATTGAGCTATCTGTCAATCGACCCAGTCCAGTTCCGCTACATTCCTCCCTCCTTTTTCATAGTCTTCCCCCGAAGACACAACTATTTACAACCCAGGTTTCGGGTATCCCCTTGCCAAGCATACACCAAATGCTTGAAACAAGGGTTGGTCGAAGGCACCACTGTAACAGGAGAGGAAAAATGTACGGCCAAACCAGGGTTCGAACTAGGGACCCTCTGAACTCTAGACGAACGCTCTACCAATTGAGCTATCTGGTCGCCAACGATTGACCAAGTCCAGTTCTGCTACATATTTAAACATCTAATTCTGTATACCAGTATATCTTTATCAAATGGACCTGTTTTTAAGTGATATCACTTGGTCCATAGGACGTATGGTTTAGATGGAGTATGTCATACACTCAATACGCTCAAAATATCACTTGGTCCATAGGACGTATGGTTTGGACAGAGTATATCATACATTCAAAATATCACATGGTCCATAGGACATATGGTTTAGATGGAGTATATCATACACTCAATACGCTCAAAATATCACGTGGTCCATAGGACGTATGGTTTAGACGGAGTATATCAAACATTTAAAATATCACGTGGTCTATAGGATGTATGGTTTAGATGGAGTATATCATACACTCAATACACTCAAAATATCACGTGGTCCATAGGACGTATGGTTTAGACGGAGTATATCATACATTAAAAATATTACTGGGTCCATAGGACGTATGGTTTAGATGGAGTATATCATACACTCAATACACTCAAAATAGCACGTGGTCCATGAGACGTACAGTTTAAACAGAGTATATCATACACTAAAAATATTACTGGGTCCATAAGATGTACGGTTTAGTTGGAGCATATCATACATTCAAAATATTACTGGGTCCATAGGACGTATGGTTTAGACTGAGTATATCATACATTCAAAATATTACTGGGTCCATAGGACGTATGTTTTAGACGGAGTATATCATACATTCAAAATATTCCTGGGTCCATAGGATGTACGGTTTAGACGGAGTATATCATACGTTCAAAATATCATGTGGTCCATAGGACGTACGGTTTAGACGAAGTATATCATACATTCAAATTATTACTGGGTCCATAGGACGTACGATTTAGACGGAGTATATCATACCTTCAAAATATCGCGTGGTCCATAGGACGTACGGTTTAGACGGAGTATATCATACATTCAAAATATCCCGTGGTCCATAGGACGTATGGTTTAGATGGAGTAATATCATACATTCAAAATATTACTGGGTCCATAGGACGTACGGTTTAGACGGAGTATATCATACATTCAAAATATTGCTTGGTAAATAGGACGTATGGTTTAGACGGAATATATCATACATTCAAAATATCACGTGGTCTATAGGATGTACGGTTTAGACGGAGTATATCATACATTCAAAATATTACTGGGTCCATAGGATGTACGGTTTAGACAGAGTTGTATCATCCATTCAAAATATTTCATAATTGTTAAGATGTTTTATACTTAATGTTTAAATATGAGGTTTTCTGTTTGCACAGGGAGCCTAGTCCTGAAGTAAAGGATGCTGGGATACCAGTACAAGACTTGCCACGGTAAATATATTAATGTGATTTAAAAGTAATTATATAATTGTCATAAAATGTCAGAGCTCTTATCATCTTCAAAATAGGGGTGAATTGGAATTGCTTAAATCTGAAATGATGAACTACTGGTAACCATTGTGTCTACTCTGAAGTTGTACAAATACTCTGTGTTGTACATCTGGCTAGAGCATATATTTCTCAAAGGCATCGTCAGTCAAAGACGAGGTAAAATGTTGAATTTATACCATTGAAAGTACAGCATACAAAACCAATGAAAATAATAACCAATCAGAAGGCTTGAAATGTGCCTGTCTGGCATTGTCCTTGATTGTGACATCACAAAAGTCATAAACTGATGTCAAACTGCATAAAAGATTTGGACATTTTGAAGTTCTCCCAAAGATTCTTAAAGGGTGGTCGAGTGGCGCTGTGGATAACGCACTCGCCTTTCAACAAGGCAATTCGGGTTCAATTCTCTGATCCGACATGAAAAGGTATAAGTTCACCTGCCCGACCATGTTTTCTCCGGGTAATCTGGTTTCCTCCCACATTAAGACCCCCTGCACGCTTACATCCGCGACTACAAGAGTGATTAAATATAAGTTATGAAACTTGTTTTCATAATTGTTGTAAAATAAATAAAGTTCGAATATATATTTTTAAAGGGGTTTTCCCTTTGATGTTACAGAATATGTACTATAGTATTCTCACTTGTAGTTGTGAGATACACAATCAAAGAAGAGATTTTCTCTGCATTTTGTTTAGGTTTGACACAAAAGTTGTGAAATATTATACATTGTGTGGTATAGTCTATTGGATATAACTCCTTAATTAAGATTATTTTGAACATTTTTATCTTTTGTTTGTCTGACAGGTGTAAGAAGGAGAACTGTACAGGTCTGCTGCGTCCCCATGTTGTCTGGTTTGGGGAGGGTTTGGATCCGGCAGTGCTAGAGAGTGCAGATCAGGAGCTGAAGGAATGTGACCTCTGTTTGGTGGTAAGATCTAGAGTCTTAAGAACAAAACAAATGTTTGTATCATCAACAACACATCAAAGTTAAGTACATATCTTGAATGATTACCAAACTAAATTATACCAAAATAACATTTTTAATCCACTGAATGGAATAACAAATACAATAACCAGTAAATCTCTGGAAATTGCCCAATAAATCCACTTATATATTGCTCGGGCAATAAGCCATGAGTCATATAATTTGCAGTATCTCATAGGCTAGCTGTCAAACCTCCCTCATTTTGACTGAAATTTACCACTCTCCCTCTAAACTCCCTCATTCAAGTCCAAACTCACACAAACTGAAAATCAACATCCTGTGGTCCACTGATCTCCTAAGTTACTGCAGGGTGTGTGTAATGATCATAACAGGTGTGTCTGAATCAAATGATTACTTTTTGGAGTTATTTTGATACATAAAAATGGAAAGATAAAGATGTCTCGTCAACAATCCATCAACCTCACATCAACCCTGAGTTTAGCATCTAACGCTATCATTACATTGTGTATATGATACACAATGGGAGAACAGGGTAAGAGAAAAAGAATCATTCACCCCCTTGTGGGTGAGATAGGGGAATCTCAACCCTCGGGGAAAGATTCTTAAGTTCTTAGAAATTTCCCCCCTTGGTTTGAAATTCCCCTATCTCATGAATCAACCCCAAGGGGGCGAGAGATTCTATTAATCTCAGTCACAGGATAAATTCTGTAACATCCCAACCGAGGCGTGGGTTGGGTAGGATGATGCTACTGAATCTTAGCCCTCAACTGAGATAACCCAATCTCACTCATTTAGACGTTACAGATTTTTTTACCTTGGTATTCTTATTATGGGTGTCCCATGTGATTTCTGTTGTTGCATACCTCGAGAAGGAAGAAAGGACTATGTATGGTTTGGGCATGTTTTGGCCCCCAAATGCATCATAATTCAAAACCTTTAAATGATCTTTCAAACGACTAGCTGTTTCTTTAATATTGAATACTTCCCAAATACTATTATAAAAATATTTATTTGAATTCTTAATATTGTTGCCATAGTAACATGTTCAAATTTGCATAAATTAGAACAATTTGAATATTCAGTGAATAGTGTCATATTTTGTATAGTTTTTCTCTCTGAAACTATAGAGTGTACAAACTTAATATCAAAGGATATTGTTAGGCACCTGTAATACATCTTTAGGAGAAATATAAAGTTTGTTCAAGAATGTGCTCTAATAAGGTAGCTAAGAAAAAAACTAGGCGAAAAACCTGTTGAAATTGACTAGATATTCAAATTTCATTATTTTTTACAAATATTAACTGGTTACCAATTGGCAGCCATAATTGAAAACACAAATAAATGTTTTCATTATAGTATAGGGAAAGTATTCAAAATTTATGAAACAGTCATTTAAAAGGTCTATTGAAGATATTTATTTTGATTGATTTGGGGGCCAAAAAAGGCACAAACTATACACAGTAGTCCTTTATGATAAAAACACTTCCACAGAGTCGTCTGAAAGTGATGTAAGGTAGAGATCCAGGTTTTTGACACAGTAGTAATGCAGTGAACAAGTTTATAGATATTGCTGTGGCTAGTATTTGATTCATTATATTCCTGGTATCAACAGGTAGGAACCTCCTCCGTTGTCTACCCAGCGGCCATGTTTGCTCCAGAGGTAGCGAGTCGCGGTGTTCCTGTGGCGGAAATAAATATGGAAGAAACTGACGTCACAGCAGGACTAGGGTCAGTATTAGCTAACTTTGTGGTCTTTCAATATTTCTTAAGTAAAATGTTTCAAATCACTTGGCAGGGAAGTGTCTGATCTTTCTTGGATGTTGTGCAGGATGTTTTACACATGTTTATCCTACTTAGTGTATAGCTTTCTGTCTTGCTTTTTAAATTTGTATGCCCCCGCCATAAAATGGGGAGGCATATAGTGTTGCCCATGTCTGTCCCGTCCTGTCGTATCCCGTCCTGTCGTGTCCTGTCCTGATTCAATGTAAACACTTAGCAACTTCATTCTTCGACAGATTTTGGTCAAACTTTATACAAAGGTCAAGTATGAGTATACTTCGGACATCGTTGTATTTCAGGGATCCAAGGTCAAGGCCAAGGTCACACTTACTATATATAGATAATCATCAACTAATTCAGTTTAAACACTTAGCAACTTCATTCCTTCTTGGATTTTAGTCAAATTTTATACAAAGGTCAAGTATGAGTATACTTCGAACATTGTTGTGTTTCAGGGTTCCAAGGTCAAGGCCAAGGTCACTGTTGCTATATATAGAAAATCATCAACTGATTCAATTTAAACATTTAGCAACCTCATTCAATATGTTATGGAGATGGTAATAACATACAGAAAAAAACATATGAATATTAAAATCAACTTATCAACTTTAAGTGTAGTACCTCGTGTGTGTGCATGTTTCAGGGTATCAAGATCAAAGGGGTTATAACTTTTTATAGAACACTGAAACTAATTTCACATGGCAGTGGGTGCATTTATGTCTTACAGACATTTTCTAGTTGTTAATGGACTGTAGAGACACCTCAATGTGTATTTATAACTGCTAATTATTCTGTTTTAGATAAAAAATATATTGCAGTAAATATGACAACACAATAAAATCATACATCACAGCTGAATATTAAACAATAACAACATATGGGCCTGTATTCATGAAGACGTTCTCGTGCTCAAGTATGGAATTTGTGCTTAAATCTAATTTCTTGTAACTCGCTTAAATCATCATTCATGTCCAACAATCAAAAAGCCAAATGTAAATATTAAAAACAGATTTCTGCCTTAAGATTCTTCAATGTTTTCCCAAATCATTGACAAAATATGATCTTCTTATTAATTTATAGCGGGAACAAGAAATATGGCTGGAGCACAAAATCCATGCTTGAGCGCAAAAACAGTTTCATGAGTGTGTGCCATAATGATCTGTGCTTTTGATAAGTCCCAGCCTTTAAGTTGTCTGACACAAGTTACCCCCCC